CCCATTGGAGGCTTCAGCATGCTTGTTTTCACCAGGGAATTTTGGAGATATAAATTCTGAATCCAAAGAAATACATTTCATGGTGGAAACTTCATGCATTAAAGCAGCTTTATAGAGTGACTTGTACACAAGTCTACAGACCACTCTGAGGTTGGTTGCAAAGCTAGAAGGATGAGTTGACCCTAAAATTCTACCTGCTACTGTGAACAGTTTCAGCTGCAGACTGGTCTCTGAACAACTGGTCTTTGTGGTGAAGACGATGAAGACGGATGTTGACATTTCAAGAGTGGAGATGCAATGCCTGGCATAGGGCTTTACCCAAAGAAAAACCCAGCAACTTAACTTTGAGAAAAGGCTTCAGGCCAGGACCTGGGGAGATGACTGTTAATGTTTGGGAGCTGAAGCCTGCCCATCTGTGGATGACTGGGATGTGTGCTGGACAAATTTGTAGGTCCTTGGAGAACCATTAAAAAGCAACCACAGTAGCCACACCTTTAGAGCGTCAGAGAAAGCAAGAACCCTGAATTAAAGCCCATTTGCACTAAGGTCTATTATATTACCTTGGTATGTGAATCTGACTTTCGGGTTTGGTTTACTGATTTTATTTTTAATTGCACAAAATATTACATAAGGTAAGGAAGGAAAAGACTTGCCCCACAGTCTGGCGAACCCAACAAGCAAGCCTACTTTCATGCCTGTCCACTTTTGATGTTCTATAAACCCTTTTTACAAAGTCCGCCTCTTAGTGTATATATACATATACTGCTCTGTTCTTTTCACCTATGATTATATTTTATGACGCAGAAACCCTCACTTCTTGCTTGCTGCTGTGAGCTCACTGCTTGGCACACTCAATAAATATTTGTTGAATGAATGGTATAAATTTTTGTTATAGTATTTGAAATTATAGCTTTTACTTGTCACAAAATATACCAGAGTGCAGGGTGTTATACTTTATTTATAAAGTTCCCTATTGCTAGGTATCCACATACTCTAATTTTTCACTATTATAAATAATGCTACAATAAATATTTTTACACATATATAGGTTATCCCTTACTTTGTGATTATTTTCTTGGGATAAATTTCTAGAGTCCTTTTTTTTATACTTCTCAATATGAAGAGCCAAACTGCTAATCGACAATAACATGTGAATGAAATACTTCATAAAATTAAAAATTATGAAGTACACAAGAGTTTGTTTTTATTTATTGAATAGATAGCAAGTGAGACTTCAATATTGTTTAAATTAGCAACTGTTATTATTATATTGAATATTATACTGAGTCAGGTTATACTTCTTACTTATTGCCAACTTTTATTTCCTATTTTATAACAACTAGAGGCCCAGTGCACAAAATTCGTGCATGGGGGCGGAATGGGCCTCAGCCCAGCCTGTGCCCTCTCACAGTCTGGGACTTCCGCCACCACTTCTAGACTCACCAGCTGTGAGTCCAGATTCTGAACACCAGGTGGCAGCTCCTGCATTGAGTGTCTGCCCCCTGGTGGTCAGTGTGCATCATAGTGAATGGCCATTCTGATCATTCCACCATAACAGTTGCTTAGGCTTTTATTATATAGACTAGAGGGCCCAGTGCATTAAATGTATGCACAGGCGGGGGGCGGGGGTGGGATCCCTTAGCCTGGCCTGCATCCTCTCCAATCTGTGAACCCTTGGGGGATGTCTGACTGCCAATTTAGGCCTGATCCTTCATAAACCTGCAGTCGGACATCCCTCTTGCAATCAAGAACTGCTGGCTCCTAACCACTCGCCTGCTTGCCTACCTGATCACCCCTAACCACTCTGCCTGCCTGCTTGGTTGACCCTAATCTCTCTTTCTGCTGGCATGATCACCCCTAACTGCTCCCCACCGCTGGCCTGATTGCCCCTAACCACCTTTGCTTCAGTCCCTGCCACTGTGGCTTTGTCTGGAAGGACGTCCGAAAGATGTCCAGCCTAATTAGCATATTACCCATTTATAAGTATAGATGATTTTAAACTTTTATCATATTTGGTGTAAGTACTTTCCATATTTCACCTTATTTGTGGTAGTTTTTGCTGTATGTTAGTTTTAAATTTTGTATAATCAAATTCCATAGATCTTGAGATCTTGCTCTTCTCTAAATATTTATTAAAGTCTTTATTCTATTTCTATGTTTTTTCAAAAATAGTGTTTCAACATTTAACTCTTTTAGCCAGTTGGAATTTATTTTAGCCAAGGCTGTGATTTAGAGATAAACTATTATTTCTTGTAACATTTAATCTGTGATCCTAAATAACATTCCTTTTATCATTGATTTTTTTTTTTTTGTCTCCTTTATCAAATACTAAATGGACTTTATTTCAGGGTATTCTATTTTCTTCTATTTATTCTCAACTATAGTGCTTCTTTTCTGAACAAGCACTATAGGTGAGAAGGTTAAGAAACTGATCTATCAATGTGTATTTTTGCAACATATATACATGATTTTAATAAGTTTTGCTTCCCATTTTATAATTAATCCTTCCACATTCTTCTTCATCTTTCCAAAATATTTTTTTTTCTATTTTCTCAGTTGTTTACTTTTTTGAAATTAAGATGAGAAATTTAGTCAGCTCTTTAGGAAGAGAACACTTTCTCTGGGATTATATTACATGAATACTTGGAAACAGTTGCTATTTTTAGCTTTTCTAGGAATATGAAAATTTGTACATTTATGTGAATCTTAAATATCTAAAATTTTGATGTTTTCTTTACCAAGGTAATATATATTTTAAGTTTATGTGTAGTAAATATCTCACTAACATGCCATTGGGAATGAGAACTTATTTCCCCACTATATTTTCTTTTCTTTTCTTTTTTTTTTTTTTATAAGTAAGTGACTTTAAAAAATATATATATTATTGATTTTAGAGAGGAAGGGAGAGGGAAAGAGAGATAGAAATATCAATGATGAGAGAGGCTGCCTCCTGCATACTCCCTACCGGGGATTGAGCTCGCAACCCAGGCATGTGCCCTTGGCCAGAATTGAACCTGGGACCATTCAGGCTGCAGGCCAATGCTCTATCCATTGACTAAACCAGCCAGAGCTTCCTACTGTATTTTCAATCTTGTTATTATCAACAAAAGAATGCTGGTAGTATTTGAACACTTATCTTGAATTCATCGTTGAACCAACTTTTATTCATTCTAATTAATTAATTATCTAATTCTAATTACTAAGTAACCAGCTCATTTTGGCTGGATGACTTTTGGCAACACTCTTAAGTTCTATCCCTATTCTGTGTCTCAAAGTGGGATGTCAAGTATGGCACAGATCTCCAAGAGAACTGGAAATGCTATCATTTGGGGTAATTTGGGGCTGATAATTTATTTTTTTTCTATAAAAACTGAGAAAAGAGCTACAATAATCCAGGTAGATTAGCACAATCTTGGAATGGCTGCTTATTAGGAAAATAAGATATTTTGAGAGGTCAATGTTACGAGTGTAGTAGATGGTTATCCCCTACTTAACAACTATTTCTTTTCTGAACAAGCACTATAGGTGAGAAGGTTAAGAAACACATCTATCAATTTGTTAGGACATGCATTTATGTTAACTACACTATATGAAGGAAATATATAATAAAATTCAATCTATCATACTGGACAATATCCTATCTGTTTTCTCTCTAAAGTGTTAAGATTCACAAATGCCAGTCAAAAGCATAAAAGGCACTCTTTTGTAACATTATTTTGAACTTTTGGTGGCTTTTTTAAAATATATATTGCTTTTCTGAAAAAGAAGTGACTATTGCAGAAATAAGAAAAGCATAATCAAAATATTTTCCTCTTTGTTACTTTTTTAAATATATATATTTTTAATATATTTTATTGATTTTTTAGAGAGGAAGGGAAAGGGACAGAGAGCCAGAAAAGTCAATAAGAGAGAAACATCGACCAGCTGCCTCCTGCACACCCCTACTGGGGATGTGCCCGCAACCAAGGTACATGCCCCTGACAGGAATTGAACCTGGGACCTTCCAGTCCCTAGGCCGGTGCTCTATCCACTGAGTCAAACCGGTTTCAGCCACTTTGTTACTTTTATGTTCGACCAAAGCGAGTGGTAAGTTTCCAAATACCTAGCAAGGGAGATGTCAATACCTATGTTAGCCACAGATTTAAAATAACAAAAATGTATTGATTCAGAGGAAATCCTGTTGTGGGCAGGGATATGAGGTAACTGTGAACATCACAAGGTAGAATCAAGAGCACGGCCTTTAATCTACTGGGACACATGAAGTACCAATAAACTGGCTGTGGGCTACATCTCTGCTGCCCTGGCAAGCTCAGGGAACAAAGTCCCCTTGGGAGAGAGGCCTCAATTCCAAAGTCTCCTACCAAGTACAAAGGTCATTCATCTGTGGGTGACTAGAGGTTAAATGTTCTAGAACTGTGGTCGGCAAACTGCGGCTTGCAAGCCACATGCGTTTCTTTGGCCCCTTGAGTATGGCTCTTCCACAAAATACCACGGCCTGGGCGAGTCTATTTTGAAGAACTGGCGTTAGAAGAAGTTTAAGTTTAAAAAATTGGCTCTCAAAAGAAATTTCAATCGTTGTACTGTTGATATTTGGCTCTGTTGACTAATGAGTTTGCCGACCACTGTTCTAGAACTAAGTGAGAACTAACAACAATTGCTTACCTTTTAAAACTGAGGTCTGAATAGCATATGAACACGTGGATAACACTTGCTAAATTATGCCTTAACTCACTAATGACCATATTAGAGGTCTTGTGAGTAAATTAACCAAAAAAGAATTAAAAAGATCTAAATATTACTTTTCAAGAAAACAGTCTTTCTAGCATATGGCAAAATTATTAAAAAATATGACTAACTGAAGACTCCATGTATGCTTACAACATCAATATTAGACAGCTTTCACATTGGTGGAATTCTTGACCTTTGTTTTTATATTAGACATAAAAATTACATCCACTATTATGCATTTCTCCTGGAACACAGTAAGAATCAATGCATACCTTTTCCCAGTGTACAATTTCCCAAGCACCATTTCTCAACACTGAAAAGAAAGAAAAAAAAAAGTCACATTTCAAAGAACAGCTTTACTACTAATCAAAACCTATTTCTGATGAAATGCCCATTTTAAATAAATAGCTTCCAATAAATTAACCAGGAGCCATTTTGACAGGTTTAAAATTATGACAGCAATGAAATGTAAAATAATACAAAGAATTAGAAACAATCATAGTACATTTTAGACCCCACAATAAGCATCACCAATAGAGGGGAATATCACTGGTGTTGCTAAGGGCTTTCTCCAGCATCTAGAGCACATGTGTCAAACACAAGGCCCTCGGGCCAAATCCGTCCCACCAGGCCTTGCAATGTGGCCCGCACCGCACTGTCATCACTGCACTCCGCTGCGTTTCCATCACAGTGACAGTTTATGACTGTTCAGTAAACCATTCGGCCCGCGATTTAGGCTGGATTTTAGAGTTTGGCCCCTTCTCTGATTGAGTTCAACACCCCTAATCTAGAGGAATTACAGTGCCACAAAGATAATGTGGAAAAGTGCCTGACAAGCTTAAGGCTTGTCAGAAGCCATACAGCAGATATTTAATGGCCACCACCCTATTACGGTGTTCATGGTCTCCTACTGCTCTATACCAGCCTGGTTTCCTTCTTTAGGGTACCTGTCACCTGGCTCAAGTCTGTGAGATCTTTTGTTAATGGAGGTGTGACTCATAATGATATGTACAGATCTTCAGAGTTCTATTCAATGAACTTTGAAAATTAAACACCTGTGAATCCACTACTTGGGACAAGAAACAGAATTCCAGAAAGATTGCTTGTGCCCCTGTACAATCCACCTCTCCATCCCCAGAGGCAACTATAGTCATTGAAGATTATTAGTCTTTTATCTCATACACACTAAACTAAATCACACAATATGTATGCATTTTCACATTGAGCTTTCAATTAAGATATCTGAGATTCTGTTTAAAAGATGTTTCTTTCTCCCATTAAACTACCAGAGCACTATGGTGGATCAATTTCTGGACTCTGTATTTACTCCATTGGTCAATTTGCATATCTTCAAACCAACATACCATCTTGAGTACTGTAACTTTATGGTCTTTTCTCACTTTGTTCTTTTTTTTCAATATTGTTTTGGATATTTAAGTTCTCTGCATTTCCATATAAATTTTAAAACCAAATAGTCAATTCTTAAAAAGCACACAAAACCTCTCAGGATTTTGATTTGGGGTTCAAGTCTTTTAACTCATGGATGAGCTGTATCTTTGATTTTATTTCCGCCTTCATTAATTTCTCTTAAATATGTTTTTGTAGTTTTCAGTGTAGGGGTCTTTCATTAGATTTATTTCCTGATACTTGTTAAGTTTTTTTCTTATATTGTAAACAATATTTTTTATTCCATTTTTAAACTAGTCACTGGTAGTATATAAAAGTGCATTAAACTTTTATACATTGACCTTGTCATCCCAAAACTTTGTGAAATCCGTTTATTAGTTCTAGCGGGGTTTCTTTCTTATTGTTTTGTTGTTCTTTTTGTGGCAATACTTGCTAAGCAACTTATTTGTTTAACAATGCTGTATTATGTTTTTTGATAGTTTTATTATGCTCTTAATGACTGTTAACTGTTCATCTCCATTTTTAAAGTGTTTTTTGTTTGTTTGTTTGCTAATATGGGGAGGGAAACTTGGAAAATTGAGAATAATTTTTACTACTAAAAATGTTCTGTTGGTTTCATGACCTTAGCATTTCAAATACTGCCAAAATTTTTTTGATCTCCACTATCACCAATACCAGCACCCCTATTTTAAGCAACCATCATCTCCCAACTAGAGGTATGCATTAGTCACATCACTAGTTTCCCGCATTTATTCTTAATCTCTTTCCAATTTAGTTTCTCTTATGACTATATATAATGATTTTACATATAAATAATAATGATGTATTATGATGTATCCATGTATGTGTATCCTTATATCCTTACACACAAGCATACTTAAAAAAGATTACTCATCACTTGCTCAGAACTCTCTTCAGTCGACTCCTGTTCGCTCATATAATAAGCTCAAACATGAACAAGGCCTTAGATGAAGCAGGTCTCCATCACCACCTGCTAACACCCCCTCTGCTCTCTCCCAGACTCATGCTCTTTCCTGCTTAAAAATCCTTTGCACATATTTCAATGGCTGGAGCACTCTTTCTTTTCACCCTCACCCTGATAACGTCTACGTATTCTCCAGATTTCAGTTTTAACATCACTTTTTTGGAGAAAATTTTTGGACACCCACTTTTCCGCCATTATCCCAAGTATAAATGAACTCCCTGCACTTTTCCTTCCGAGCACTTACCAGTTTCACTACACATCTGGTAGAGAGAGGGTTAATATAAGGACTCTCTCCACCCTCAGACTGTAAGGTCTGTGACAAGGGGAACTTTCTCTATTCTGCTCTCTGCGGTATCCCCAGTGTTGTTACCGAGGTGCTCAGTAAATACTTGCTGGATGGCTGATGTTCTTATGTGCTCAGGACATATGAAGCCATCAAACTGTCACATGGGTTTACTAAAAACACAACCCTGCTCCCTGTTAAATCTAAGATTAAGTACAACATTTACAGGATGTTAAAAAAAACAAAAAAACAAAAACCCAGCTAAATAGGAGAATACTTTGGCAATCCCTCAGAAAGCTAAGCATGGGGTTAACATACACTCCAGAAATTTAATTCCTAAGTATTTATCCAAGAGAACTGAAAACATATGTTTGCACAAAAACTTGTATGGAAATGTTTACTGTAATGTTACTTATAAACCAAAAGGTGGAAACAACACAACTAATGAATAAATAAAGAAAATGTGGTATATCTGTTCAAGGGAATATTATTCAGCCATAAAAAGGGATAAAGTGCTGACACACACAACATGAATAAATTTTAAAGTTACAGGAAGTGAAAAAAACCAGACACAGAAAAGACACACCTTATACAATTCCATTTATAGAAAATGTCCAGAATGGACAGATCTATAGAGACAGTACATTAGTGGCCGTCAGGGACTCATGGACGGGGGAATGGGGATTGACTGCCTATCAGGGGTCCTCAAACTTTTTAAAGTGGGGGCCAGATCACGGTCCCTCAGAGAGCTGGAGGGCTGGACTATATGAACTACTAATTCCTACTGTAACACCTCGGCTGCGCTCACTGCCCAAAAAACCTGGCGGGCCGATCAGACTCCTCTGCGGGCCTCATGTGGCCCGCGGGCCGTAGTTTGAAGATGCCTGGATGTATAGGGTTTCTTTTTGTTGTGGCAAATATTCTGGAATCAGATAGTGGTAATGTGTGCATAAGCTTGTGAGTACACTACAACAATAGTATACTTGAAAACAATAAATCTTATGATAGGTGATTACAATAAAAAGCATCTACATAAAATGATATCAATAGACTATTTAAACATTTGCTTAAAATAGACTTGTCAGTGTTATAAGCTACTGAAATAATTCCAATGTGAACATTTGGAAATGGTTACGTAACCATCAGATGCACTAACATGAGTGTCCTCTGATGTCAGCTCAGGGCCAGCCCTTCCAGCTCTGTAGTCTAAACTGGCCCTTCCTGAAGTACTGCCAGTTTGCAGGTCACATCCCAAAATATCCCTGAACCACTCTACTGGGTTCCATTTACAGGACAGGAGTGTCATCACAGGCTTTCCCAACGCAGCAGACCACGCTCCACTAAGAAGGGGGAGAACCAGGGGCACTTCCATGGGACCATGAAAAACAATCCTCTAAACCTGCTTCACTTCCCCACATTCCAGTGGCTGCTCATTTTCCCTCAATCTTCCATCATTTCTTTCTGCACATTTGAGCCTCTACCTCCTTCCCCTAACCACATTTCTGGAGTTCCCTCTCTATTAACTTGTCCTAAGATTATCTCCTAGGTGCTCTCTGCCTCCAGCCCAACAGTACATTCTCCCACTCGCCTCTTTACCACTCTCCACCCAAACGTTCCCTGTCAACTCATCATCAAAGAGTTCACTGGAAGGTACGGCTTACTGAAAAACTTTGTCTAAAAAAATTTGAAATACATATTCAGTCAGCAACATTTTCTACCCAAACTACAAAAATCAGTGCTATGTTTGTAACAAGCAGAACGGAGGTATGTAAAGAAGACATTCTCCTCATCTCATGCCACTTTCTCAAGGTAAGGAAGACAAATGGATGCATCCTCACCCACCTTTCTCTAGACCAAGCACGTCAAACTTGTGGCCCACGGGCCCCATGCCTTGTTTATTTGGCCCATGTTAGCCTTGGGGTTTGACATGTTTGCTTTAGACAAACATATGCACTTTTTCTTCCTTTCCTTTGAAAATTTTATTTCTCTGAAACTTGGTTTTCCACTTTTCATATATGCTTTCAGGACAGAGCAGAGATGCTTAAAAAAATTTTTTTTTAAATAATGATTACACGGTGCACATATTTGAGTTAATGGAGTCACTAGAATGCACTCTAGTATGAATTCACACAAAGCTTAATCAAAGTAGAGGATAAAGTACAGCAGGAAAAGGAAAGCCCAGGCAAGTATCAGGGGTCTGAGAAATCCCTAGGCACAGTTCCCTGGGGTCCTTCTTATTAAGCCACCGCATGGATTTTGAACCTCCTCTATATGTCCAATAAATATTAATTTGGGGAAGCCTGGGAATAAGTTTCCCTGGGGTATTTCATAGCCCTCTGTCAATTAGCCAAGCTAGACTTTGCAATATATTAAACTGGGTAAGCCAGCAATCTACAATAGATACATCCTTAAATTAAGTACAAAATTTGGTCTGGGGTACCTCCAAGGGGAGTTTCAAACCCTATAGAGCACCTTATAAATCACCAACTAGCCTAGTCCATCTTGTCCTTATCTTGGCCAACGTTCAGCACAAAGCTGTTCCAGTCCAGCTGTTCCAGTCCACTCAGCTAATAGCATGTGTCCAACTATCCACATCTGGATGGAAATTCCAACTTCCATTGTTATTGTTGTTTTTTCC